TCTGCAAACCATACATCTATTAAGGGGTTAATACCTAAAATATATAAGTAATTCATACAACTCAACCAAAAACTTCCAAAATCAAAATTTCCAAAAATAAAAAAACTCAGTGGAACTGAATAGGTAATTTCCAAAAATGAAATACTCATAGCTGGTGCTCAACACTAATCATCAGGGAAATGCAAATCAAAACCACCATGAGATATCACCTCACACCTGTCAGAATGACTATCATCAAAAAGGCAGGAGATAACAAGTTTTGGCAAGGACATGGAAGAAAGCTAACCCTCATGTCCTGTTGATGGGAATGTAAATTGGTGTAGCCACTATGGAAAACAGTATGGAGGTTCCTTAAAAAATTAAAAACAAAACTACCAATATGAGCCAGTCATCTCACTTCTGTATGTATCTAAAGGAAATTAAAAACAGATATTGAAGAAACATTTTCTCTCTCACTTTCACTACAGCATTTCTCACAAGCCAAGGCAGATGTTGATCAAAAGGCACAGACTTCCAGCTACAAGATGAATAACTTCTGGGAATCTAATGTATGCACAGTTACTATAATTAATAATACTGTATAATACACTTGAAATTTACTAAGAGAGTAGATTTTAAGTATTCTCATCTCTTGCACACACACGTATACACAAATATTAAACATGTGAAGTAATCAAAGGCATTAACTAACCCTACTGTTATAAACATTTTGCAATATATATGTTTATCAAATCATCATGTTATAACTTTAAACTTACACAATGTGATATGATAATTATATCTTAATAAATTTGGAAAGTGAAGTATTCTACAAAAAGAAAATGACTGTAATCTGAATTTTACAAAGACAAGAGACTAGCATCATCACTATTGGATTTGCTTTGTTCCTTCCAAGCATTTTCCCATAAACAATAACATCTTCCCCTTTAGCTTGCTCAGAGAGGAGCCTGCTTCTCCCTCTGTGCATCGTCTTGCTTGAGCTCTTTCTCTGACAAATAAATAAATAAAAGAGATCGGAAGAGGCATGTTTATAGCAGCAATTCCCACAATAGCCAAACTATGAAAGAACCTAGATGTTCATCAACAGATGAATGGATAAAGAAGATGTGATACACACGCACACACACACACACAGTGGAATACTATGCAGCCATCCAAAAACTGAAATCTGGCCATTTGCAACGATGTGGCTGGAATTAGAAGATATTATGCTAAGCGAAATAAGTCAATCAGGGAAAGACAATTATCATATGAGGAGTTTGAGAGGCAGGGTAGGGGGTTGGGGGGGTAGGGAGGGAAAAAAATGAAACAAGTTGGGATCAGGGAGGGAGACAAACCACAAGAGACTCTTAATCTCATGAAACAAACTGAGAGTTGCTGGGGGGTGAGGATGTAGGGATAGGGTGGCTGGGCTACAGACATTAGGGAGGGTATGTGCTATGGTGAGTGCTGTGAAATGTGTAAGCCTGATGATTCACAGATCTGTACCCCTGCGGCAAATAATACATCATATGTTAATTTAAAAAGATAAAAAAAATCACATCCAAAAAAAAAAAAATCAATCAATCAATCAGGGCCTGCCAGCATTTCCAAAGAACCACGGGTGTGTGTGGTGTGTGTGTGCATGTGTGTGCATGTGTGTGTATGTGAGTGTATATGTGTGGGTTCATGTGTGTATATATATATATGTGTATGTGTGTGTATACACACACATACACATATATATATATACACACACACACACACACACACATATATATAATCTGAGAATCTGTAGCACGGAGTCTGCCATATAGAAAGAAGTACAAACAGTTGTTGAAAGACAGAAAGAAGGAATGAAGAGGGAGGGAGAGAGGGATGAGCAGAGGGAAGGAAGAAAGAATCTCTTTGTTTATTAAGATACATTTTGAGAAAGAGAGAAATTTAAGTGTTTCATGTTGGAAAATCAAAATCACCGTAAATTTTTATTCCAAACCTATATCTCAAGATTCTATGATACAATAACTACAAAGCACAGCTCTTCACTTTTCCTCAGAATACTAAATGGTTTTAAATCATTCATTACAGGTAGGAAGGCTTAGGAATCTAAAAACTTAAAACTACCCTTGGTGCACTTCTGCTGGATGAAGGTAAGTTGCCTTGGGATGGTACAGTCAGGAAACTGGGCACCGTGATTTGATTTCCAAGAACCACTAAACACTCCCCTTTAGGAACCTTCCTACCAGACTAAATGAAGGACACATCTCCATATTTAAGACTCAAAATATAAACTTAATGCTTTCCTGTCATTAAGGTTTGATCATCACAGTTCTCCTCACCTACCAGTCTTATTTAATAGTCATTAATAAATGGCTCTCTCCAGCCCCTAAGTGTATACACCAATTTACATACCCATCAACAGGACATGAGGGTTAGCTTTCTTCCATATCCTTGCCAAAACTTGTTATCTCCTGCCTTTTTGATGATAGCCATTCTGACAGGTATGAGGTGATATCTCATTGTGGTTTTGATTTGCATTTCCATGATGATTAGTGTCGAGCACCAGCTATGTGTATTTCTTTTTTGGAAAATATCTATTCAGTTCCACTGCTCATTTTCTTATTGGAATTTTTTGGTTGAGTTTGTATGAATTACTTATATATTTCAAGTATTAACCCCTTATTAGATGTATGGTTTGCAGGATTTTCTCCCATTCTATTTTTTTAAAATTTAAAATCAATTAGTCAATATACAGAATATCTTTAGTTTCAGATGCAGAGTTCAGCAATTCATCAGTCAATGCACTTTGTCTAGGTAGTTCAAAGGTATTTCCATTAGGGGAAAAAAAAACCTACTGCATATCCAGTAGGTATCAACTCTGTCAAAGGGAATATACAAATGAAATAATGGAAAAAGTATACCAGAGTCTAACAAATGTTATGAAAATGAGAAACAGTAAGTGCGTTATTTTTCTATACTATTTATGTTTTGAAGTTTTGTAATGTAAGCGTAGATTTCTTTTGTAATTTGTGAAAAAGTAAGAGTATTACAAATCCAAGTCAAACCATTATGAAGTAACAGAAGATTCACACACTGAGTTATATCAACACACAAACACGCACACGCGCGCGCGCACACACACACACACACACACACACACACATATTATACCGCATGGATCTTCCATAGGGAAAGTTTCTGATGACAGTCCTTTCCAGCTCAAAGTACCTAAGAAGTTCATTATCGGTCTTCAAGAAGCCCTGACTGGCCAGGCTGCAAGGGCTTCTGTCCCTCAGTTACCAGTTAAAGAAAACCGTGGCCTCGAAGTCCATCTGTTGGTGGTTTGGCCTTGTATCGGTTGGGCTTCCAGATGACCACAGGGCCTCTGCAGCCATGCAGAGTACACTCTGAATTAAGTACACTCTGAATTAAGCTTCCCTTGATGATGACTAATCATCCTGTCTCAATTTAGACTAATAGCAGCAATTTCAGTAGCACTGCATGTAATTTATTTATAATCACCCTGTCTCAATTAAGCTAATAGCAGCAATTTTGGTTGCACTGCATGTAACCAAGTATGTTTTGACAGGAAAATATATTGTTGGTGAAGGAGGATAGGGGAGGAGGGAGAAGAGGGGAGGAGTGGAAGGGACAAAATGGAGAGAATTTTATAGGATGCAAAGTTATAAAATCACCTGCTGTCTGCATGCAATCACTTTCTTTAATCTCAGAATTGTTGCAACTTGGCTGTTGAAGTGTGTGGCTTTGTTTTTGTGGGGATTTGGGGGACTGGATATGGTAAAGTCTTCTGGGTATTCTAGACTGAGATCTTTATTTTATCATTTTTATTTCATGGCTGAGGTTAAACCTCAGAAATGCCATCTTTAGACTAGTAAGGAGAACAGGGGATTTCAAGTCAGACAGGTTGGGTGGCTTACTAACCCCAGTCACTAGGAGCTTGACTTAAGGTTAGTTAGTTCAACTCTCAGAACCTAGGTTTCTTCATCAGTAAGATGAGACTGTCAGCTACCTCACAGTGTTGGGTGGGTTAGGTCAGATAAGTAGTCAGGGCACCAAATAATATTCTGAATCAAAAAATGATGTATTTGTACAAAATGGTGGGAAATCCAAAAGCTGAGAAATCTGGCTCAGAACACAAAAAGGATAAATTCTGTAATGGGTCATTGAGCCCTGTCACCAACCTTGGGCCTTCTAAACAACATCTGTAGAATTCTTACCTTACAATTTCCATTTCATATATGCCAATAATGAGAGGCTGTTTGCATTCCATCGGTCCCACACCAGCTAAAGGAACCATGCATGGTACACGGGAGACAAGAGGTTCAAAGTGGTACAGTTATCTACCAATACCACCATGAAGACACTGGCCAGAGATTTGCAAACCAATAGACCAGGGCTGCACTGACAACAGCCCCACCCCTCGCCCACTCTATGTTGCTGGTCTTGGCCACCACTAATAAGGCCAAGATGTCTGTTTTGGGAAGGATTATTCAGATACCTGGTTGTCCAAGCCTATAAGCTGGGAGTCATTGTTTTCCTTCAATCTTCCTTCATATCTGATAATCAACTTTTGTCCATTCTTCCTCCCAAATATCTTAAGTCTATCTTTTTTTTTTTTTTTACTTTATTCTCACTGCTATCCCTTACTTTAGGTCCCTATCACTTCTTGCCTGGACTACCATAACTGCTTCCCAAGTGGCCCTTCTTGGGTTCTCTCCCTGTGTCCCCCCTCACACAGCCCAAGTAGATTTATAAAGCACAGATCTGGTGAGATTGCTCCCATCCTTAAAAACATTCAATGGCCTCTCATCAGTTTTAGGATAAGGTCCAAAAATTTTAACACAGTCCACAGGGCTTTGTGTGACTTGGCTCTGCCTATGCTTCCAACTCTGTGTAGAACTACAATTGTAGTTCTGCATACTACATTCCAATTCATCCAAATTGGTCTTATTTTAATTCTTTAAACACATTATGTTTTCCCCGAATTAAGGCCTTCACACATGCTGTTCCCTCTTACTAGAATACTCTTAACCACTCTTCCAAACCAATAAGCTATGACTTCGCCTTTCCATCCTGGTTAAACTGAATTTTTAGAGACCTTCTTTGCTTTTTCCAAAATTTATTGGTTTTCCTCTATAATACAATTTCTCAATAACCTGAGTGTTTCTCTTTCCAGATAATCATTATGCTTGTTACTATCATTAAACTCAGGACTCTGTTTGTTTCACTTATCATTGGATTTTCAGTGCATGGCATAATCAGCATACTTCTGAGTAGGAGCTGTTAAAAATTATGCCAAAAAATTAGATCACTGCCTAACAAGCTCACTGTACACTCAAGGGGTCTGTGTATTTGTTTGGTGTGCGATTTACTAATTAGTAAGGCCCAAACTCTTAAGGTAAGATGCTGATTTATAGAAGATGGACAAGTAGCAAAATACTTATTTTATGACCAAGTTGCAAGTGATTTCTATCCAGTAGAAAAAAGGAACATTTGTGGTTATGGCTTTATTGCCTTCTAGAATATCAATCACTTGTATAGCAATCTCTATTGTCTTGTTCCAGCACTCAATTTTTCAATGACCATCCACACTTTGGTCTTTTGTAGCTTCCTTCACAACAACGTTGTCATCTGGCTGGTTTCCTCACTACCAAGTTAATGGATTTTTGACAAATCTTGACTATATACCTGTATGACAGTTGTTTTTAACTTTTTGAAAATTATGCTTTGACAGAGCAATTTAGGAGGAATGCAACAAGTCTTTGACGACTGACATCCTTAGAACAGACTCTAATGGGGCCCACGGTTGGAGAAATTTGAATGGGAGAAAGGAAGAGAAGAGAAGCACTAGAAATATAGCCCTGCTCTTGGGAAGGGCAAGTCTCTTTCTGGAGAGAAGAGAACTCAATATCTATATCTGAAAGACTGAAAAACAGTCGGAAAGCTTCAGATAGTAGAAGAAAGGACAGTTGAGTTAACTAATATTTTCTTCCCCAGAAAGCCCCCCAGTGCAGATCTTCAGCTTTAGACACTGGTGTAGGCACAAGGGGATCTGGAATAGGGAACTCTGGGGTTAAGGTCTGTGTGGCAGAGGCTCTCCAAGATCTGTGTCTCATCCTTCTTTCAGAGAACACTTCTCAACCACTTTTCTCAGTCTTCTCTGAAGCTCATAGTGGCCATGTGACTGGGCTGCAGTCAATGAAATCTGAGGGAAAAATATGAGTCCCCTACAAACCTGGCCCATAAGACCTGGGAGTGATTCTCACTCCATTTTCCCATGTGCTGGCAGAATGAAAAGGGCTTTGAGGACTTGGAGGAAGGCGCTGACCTTAAGTGGAAAGGACTTAGTCTCTGAAAGACTGTGTGGAGCAATTTCCTTATTGACCTATGCTAGAAATAACCATCCAGTGGGCTAAGCCATGGAGCTTTGGGGATTGTTTGATAAGCAGTTAGCCTACCCTAGTCCATGTTAGAGGGCTCAACTCACATTTCCCTCTTTCCAGAAGTCCTCTCTAACCATTCCAGTCCACAGTGACCTTAGAACTGATAGCACATGCCTTTTGATTCATTAAACCATGATTAAACCTGGTGTTTAATCATGTACTTTTGTGTGTTATGACTTAAACTCATTATTACCCAAACTGAGTTCCATGGAACACTACCATTTAAGATAATGTTACTAGGTATTCCATGAAAAGGGAGTTCCATAAGGAAAAAAGTTTGATGGACATTAGGTTGAATGAGTTTCATGTTCGCAGGACTTGCCAAAGCCCCTAATGAGATAATGGGGCTTGCATATGCTTAAAATGGGGTTCAAGAATATAGTGTTTCTCACTTTGATAGTGAGGGTTTTTTTTTGTAGATTACAGTTTGGGAACCATGCCTATAACCCTTTCACTTGTGTGTGTGTGTGTGTGTGTGTGTGTGTGTGTGTACCTATATCTTATGCCTTCTATGAGGTTACAGTTCATAAGGAAGTGACTTCATTTTTCTCTGATGCTCTGTGCTCAAAGTATGCTCTCTGATGCTCCTTTTCTCTGATGCTCTGTGCTCAAAGTACACACAGTTCTATAGTATCAGCATTAAAAACTTGGCCTGGGGAAGAGGTAAGTAGAAGGTTTCAAGGAGGCCAACATATGAGTTGGGCCTTAGGAAGTGAATAGAGGTTTTGCGGCAGGGATAGAGCAGGTGAAAGGATAAGGAAAAGTATCCCCATGAAGGAGACCACACAGACAGTCCCACCGAGGCTGGGGAATGGTCAGAGAAAAGAGACTCAGTTTTAGAATGGAAACCAAACAGACCGCTTGGATTCTGCCTGCCAAGCAACTGTACAGTTTACCACTTTATAAAGTTGTAACCTATGAGCTGCAAAGTTATAACCCAGTCACCTCTGGCACTCCCCTCGGGAAAGAATAGATACCACTCCTCCCTGTATTCCCACAACTGGAGGCCCCTGAAGGATAGGAGTCATGTCTTATGAATCATTTCAGCTCCTGTTCCTTAGCCTGGGACACAGCTCACAGGGCTTCCTGTCTGAGATTTCTCCTCTGAATGTGAAAACACAACCCTCCCAGGATGGCTATCACACTTAAATTTTTAAAATGCTAGTGTAACTGCACTACTGGGTATTTACCCCAAAGATACAGATGTAGTGAAAAGAAGGGCCATCTGTACCCCAGTGTTTATAGCAGCAATGGCCACGGTCACCAAACTGTGGAAAGAACCAAGATGCCCTTCAACGGACGAATGGATAAGGAAGATGTGGTCCATATACACTATGGAGTATTATGCCTCCATCAGAAAGGATGAATACCCAACTTTTGTAGCAACATGGATGGGACTGGAAGAGATTATGCTGAGTGAAATAAGTCAAGCAGAGAGAGTCAATTATCATATGGCTTCACTTATTTGTGGAGCATAACAAATAGCATGGAGGACAAGGGGAGTTAGAGAGGAGAAGGGAGTTGGGGGAAATTGGAAGGGGAGTGGAACCATGAGAGACTATGGACTCTGAAAAACAATCTGAGGGTTTTGAAGGGGCGGAGGGTGGGAGGGTGGGGGAACCAGGTGGTGGGTATTGGAGAGGGCATGGATTGCATGGAGCACTGGGTATGGTGCAAAAACAATGAATGCTGTTACGCTGAAAATAAATTTAAAAAATTTTAAAAAAATGCTGGTAAGGCATTTAGCACACTGACCGGCATATGGTCTATGCTCAAGAAATGTGAGTTGTGGGTATCACTTGCTTAGTAAGTGTTTGGGGAAGGGAGGAAGGCAGAAGGGAAGGAGGGAGGGCAAGACACTGGCAACAAAAGAAAGAAGACCAAGTGGAATGCAGTTATCCTATTTCATTCTCCCACTTGGCGAAGGCTGGGAGGGAGATGCCCTTTACCCTCTGTTGCAGGAATAATCCTTCCTTGGCTGCATTTCTCTGAGTGGTTGTTTTGGAGGCTCTGAAGTGAGATATTGAGTTAAACTTCAGCGCACACTGCCAAGAGCAGGGGAGTGGACTGCGCCAGGGACAGAGAGGAACAGAGGGTCCTTTGGGGAAGAACACCCGCCACTCCTCACACTGGCAGCCAAGGCTTGTGCGGCCTGAGGGAGTGTGGGGAAGCACTCAGGAGGGTTTACTCTGTCCTTGGCGCATGGATTCCCAGGCTCTAATGAAGGAACAGAGAAAGCCTGGCCTCCTCTGTGGGAAGACCGTGTACCTGACAAAATTGTTCTTTTAGGATAAAGTTCATCAGAGCGAGAAGCCTGGGAACCGAAAATGTGGGCTGGGTCTGCAAAGAAGAAATGAATTCTAGGGAATCTGAAGACCAGCTCATCTGCATGAGGGGACACAAGAATAAGAGGAGGGAAATGTCCACGTCTGTGGCCTCTTCCCTCTTTCCTCTCTGCCCCAAGGGAGCTGCAAGTGTGGCCAATGGGAAGGGTCTTGGGTCAGGCCAGGAGGCCTAGAGACTGGTACGAGGAGGAAACACTCTGATGGGCCAATTCCATGGGCTGGGTCAACATGGCCAGATGATTTTTTCCAGAGGAATGATCTCTTCGCAGACACTTTGCTACCAAGGCCCACAGCCAAAGACTGTGGAAGGGGATCTGGGACCTCTCCCAGAGCATGTCTACTGCTCCACAGGAGAAGGCTGTACCATCCCCAGGAGTGATAAGCCTTGAATGGGGATGAAAATCCTCCAATCTTACCTTTAGTTTTTCAGGGGAAAGGTACTTAAGTGTATATAGATAAATATATTTATGTATATACATACACACACACACACACACACACACACACACACACACGATACTGAAATATGATTCCTAGCTTGAGCTAAGTAGTTTCACAAGTAAGAATCAAGGAAACTATAGGATATCCTTATCAAGATGCGCAGGCCAGATAACTACTGTAATAGGGAGACTAGAAACATGTTTGCCATTGGGGGCTGCTTAGGAAGCTACGGCAATGCATAAAAAATTATATATAATAATTTTATGATATACATAATTTAATCATTCATATTAGTGTCTAAATAATAGAAGGAGAGGTAGGGGGAAAGACATGGGGAGAGGAAGAAGGAAGCATAACAAAATTAACACCTATTATTTCAGGATAGTGTGAGAATAGGTGATTTTTTTTTTCCTATTTTGACATCTGGGTGTCAGGAGGGAATTTAACTTTGTTTCTGTTAATAAAATAGTTTCTCATTGTAAAAAAAGAAATGCAGAATACCACCAAGAGGAAAAGGGAAATAACTGGAATCCTGGGTGATCTTCATTTCCTTCCTCGTGCTTCTCTGTATTTTTAAGTCCACTATAAGGGATTTACTATTTGAATGAGAATAAGCAACATGTGTTCATATTTTAAAAACCAGCTGACTCCAGAAATAACTCTCTCTTTGTCTCTGAGAAAGCTCTGGAATTTCTGCCACTGGCTGGACCTTTGTCTTCTGGCTCTGTGAGCACTGGGTTAAGAGTCTTAAGGCCCAAAGATTAACACAGGACTTTAGAAAAGTCGTGTACTCTCACTGGGCCTCAGTGAATCTATCTGTAAAATGGGAACATCTGCTTTGCTTACTGCAAAGAACCTTTGTGAAGATCAAGTTCACAACTTACTCAACTGTAAAGACCCAGAGAGTTGTAAGAAAACAGACTCCAGATGAAATGTAGACACTCTCACTGAGTTACGCTAAACCACTGTAAATGAAAACAGCTTCCAAGTCCTTTAAAGATTAAGAAGCCATTTGCCTGGACAAAAAGTAAGTGATGGGCCATGTGATAGTGGCCCTTTTCACCTAAGGAGGAAAGCAGACCTGGCCCTGGCCTGAGTCCTGCTTCTCCCTGGAATCCTCCGCCCCACAAAAAATAGTGATTAAGTTCCCCCACCCTGGTCTTTTCAGAAACCAGTGGGGGACCTGTTCCCCTGCCCACCAGACACAGGACATGGTTTGAGTACTTTGGTACATCAGAACTTTAATTTTTTTTATTACTTTTTAAAAGATTTATCTATGTATTTGAGAGAAAGAGAGCAAGCACAGGGAGGGACAGAGAGCAGACTTCTTGCTGAGCTCAGATCGGAGCCCAGTGCAGGGCTGGACGCAGGGCTTGATCTCATGCCTCTGAGATCGTGACCCTGAGATCCTGACCTGAGCCAAAACCAAGACCAGATACTTAACCGACCACGCCACCCAGGGACCCCCCCCATCAGACCTTTTAAAATCTGGCCCTCACACCTAATGCAGCAGCCAGTCATTTCAAAATATTCTACATTTCAAAATATTCCAGATACTTTCAGGACACTGAACCTTTGCACAATACTGTTCCCTCAACTTCTTCTCAGGTTTTAGGATCCAAGTCCAATGTCACCACTGCCCTGCTGTACCTGGCAGAGTTGTTAGTGGGTTACTGTGTCTCAAGCTCCTGACTTAAACCTCTACAGTTGTATGAAAACAGAAAGAAGGACTATTTACTTATATGAGTGTGTTTGTCTATTTGTGCATACATACATACATACATACACATATAAACAATGGTTTCCAGAGGCCAATCTATATTTGCGCCAATAATAATAACAACCATGATAACTATGGCAGTGATGCTGTATAAGACGACAGCCTACAAATGTCTGTCCTACAAGCAAACAAATGAAGACACATTGCTGGGGATCAGGGAGTGGAGTAGGGTCAGGGAGGGGAGGACTGAAAGGGTCTCGTGGGAAGGGGCACCGACGTGGGGGACTCACAGGATGGTCTGCATCCAGCTCTGCTCCATAGCTGAGAATCTGATCGGCAAATCTGTCAAGCTCTTGGATGGTTCTTGGGAACCAGGGCACTGAAACACAGAAAGGGCAAAATTCTGAGCAGAAGATCGGCAGGACATGGCCAAAGGTTTCAGCAAAGACAGAAGCATGGATCAGCCCCAGTTAGACAAACCATGGGGGGGGGGCACATAGGGTCCCCTATAATCTCCAACTTATTCAAATTTTCATTGGAAACTAATTTTTAAAAATTTTCAGTTTTGTTGAGGTATATCTGACAAATAAAATGATAAGATATTTAAAGAGCACATCATTGTGATTTGATACAGGTATACAGTATGAAAGCATTTCCCCATCTAGTTAATTAACACACACATATTTACCTTTGGCAGTTAGTAAAAACATTTAAGTTCTAATCTGTTAGCAAATTTCAATTGTATAATATAGTGTTATCGCCTACAGTCACCATGTCTTACACTAGATCCTCAGAGCTTACTCACCTTTTAGCTAAAATATATCTTTTTACCAGCCACCCTCTTTTTGCCAGCCCCAGCCCCTGGCAATCATTTACCTACTGTTTGTTTCTGTAAGATTGGTGCTTTTTTTTTTTTTTTTTTTTTTAGGTTCCATATATAAGGGATACCATGCATTATTTGTCTTCCTCTGTCTGGTTTATTTCACTTAGCACCTCAGAAAAGAATTTTAAAATATCTTCCCAGACATATTCTCTTTCCTGAAGATTTTCTCTGAATTATCTCCAAATTTACCTAGTATAGTGGGGTGGTTTTTGAAGATTTTCTTTAGTAGCAGAGTATTACATGTAATCCCAGAATATACATCAGATAAAACCAGAGCTGTTCTCTTTTAAACAAGGATGAACCCATGAGACCCTATCTTTCTATCACATATCGCCCTCCCAAATATTCCCAGGCATCATCCTGGCAGAATCTTTTGATGCCCAAGCCAATTTGAAAGTCACGGATGAAACAGAATGAAGTCAGGCAGCTTAGGATTTGACAGTATCTTGTAGCACCTAAAGAACCTGCAGGATTGCTTTTGGAGTAACGTGGTGGGGAAAGAGATGAGGCCTGAGCTGTGTGGTCTACAGGGAAGAAGACATGTGGGGGTGGAATTGTCCCAGGAATTAACAGAGACTAAGACATTTTGGACTATAAGGTCCATGAAGGCAGAAACCATGAGTGTATTGTAGTGCATGTGCCCAGAGGGGAGGGAGGGCATGGGGGTGGGGGGCAAGAAGCAATGGAGAAAGGAAGGAATGAATGAAGTCTGGTTATGCTAACTTGTACGGCATTCACAAAAGTAACTACCATCCCTGGAGCACCAACTCTGGTCTAAGTTGCTATTTCTGATTTCTGAAGTATCTCCAAAATAAGGAAGGCATTATGACCTCTATTGCACGGATGAAAAACTGCAGCCCTGAAAGTCTAAAGAACTAGCGGACGGCCACACAGAAAGTAAGAAAGTGAGAGCTCCTGGAAAACTCATGGAGCCTAAGGAGACATGGGAGGCTGGGGGAGCTGTGAAGGGAGGCCAAGGCGTCCAGTGCTTCCCCTGAAATGAGGTTTAGAGGAAAAGATGCTGAACTTGGAGTCAGTAAGGTCTGTCTTGAAATCTGGGCTGCATCTACCTACTTTTGCTCTCTGGGCCTCAATCCTAACTATGGAAATGGGAATAACTGCCACAATAACAGGAAGAGTAGCAGATGTTTTTTGAGGCCTTACCACGTGTCAGCCACCGTGCTTACCATATTGGTGGAATATCTGTTTTAATCTGAGTATTACTGTGAGGAGTAAGTGAGAATGTAGGCAAAGGGTACAACCCAATGTTTTGCCCATAGAAGGAAGCTTCCCATCTCAGGCAGGTAATTTCCGATTCTTGCCCCGCCAAGTGGGGCTGGAAAGCACACGCTTGCCATCTAGTGGCCAAATTGGGGAAGCGCCATCCGTGATCTTAACATAGAACAGGCAGGCAAGAAATCAGCCACGTACCACAAAAATGAGATGCTTACTCTAACAGCATTAACAGAGGGCCATTTAGAGCCTTGTTTCCATAGCTGTAAGGTGAAAAGCTGTCTGCCCCATATGTGAATGATAAAAAGTAACACTGAGTGCAGTTCTAAATATTTAACCTGCGAGATAGGTACTATTGGTCTCCCCAGATCACAAACGTGGAAGCTGAAGTACAGAGAGGTTAGGTGGCAAACCCAGATACAGGGCTTCCTCTGCTAGGAAACAGATGAGTCAGGACTCAAACTCAGGCCTGGATGAATCGGTGGTTTCCACTGTGACCATGAATCCATCCTGCCACTCTGGGGAGTTAGAGTACATTGTTAGCTGGGCTCTGGAGCCTGACTGCCTGAGTGTTCTTGCCATCTCCCACCTAGAGGTTCCATGCCCCTAAAGCCCAGCCCACTTCTCCAGGTTGGCTCTCTGTGGTCAGAGTCACAGGAACAGACCTTGCAGCTGTATCCAGCTAAGACTTATCTAGCACTGGCTTGTTGACAGGCACCGTCCTCCCATATTATATTTACCCCCTCACCCAATCCACATAGCACCCCCAGGAGCTGGGTGTTATTACTATCCTCATTTCATAGATGAGGATGTGGAGGAACAAGGAGGATAAGTCTCTTCGTAGACCTCCTGGGTTCCAACTGTTAGACTTTGGAGTCTGAGATGACTCAGCACCAGAGTATTCACCTAGCATGGCACCTGGCTTCCCACTTTGTCTCCAGAATGTTTCTCTAGGCTTTTCTTCCTTCTTGAGTCCACTGCTTTACCTTGAGCAATGGATCTCTGTAGTCAGCACTGAAAATGGGGGCTATTCCTTACCCGGGTTTGGAAGGACTTGAGAAAGGACATCTACTGTAGTCAGCCAAGGCCCAGGATTCCCTCTGAGACCATTCTGGCTTACCCAGAATGTCGCCATCCCATACCTCTCTTCCAGGGCACCCCTTCCCCACTCTTTCCTTTTCTCTCTTGCCCGAGAATCATCCACAATCCCAGCAGTCACAGTTGCCCCCAGAGACAGGGCAAGCCAGCCTTGTCTTGCTGCCCCCACCTCTGACCTGGGGCACTCTTCATCTTGTTGAAAAAGATTCCATAAATAAGTGTTCAGCACCTACTACTAGGGTACTAGACATTGAAGGAGTCTTCACTGCCGTGGTGCTTACATTCTAGTGGGGGTGGGTAGCCAGAAAGTGAAAATAAATACATTTAAATAGATAAAGTGCCAGGACATTCTTTTTTAAAAGACTTTTAAAAAACTTATTTGTCAGAAAGAAAGAGAAAGAGAGTACAAGCAGTGGAAGCAGCAGGCAGAGGGAGAAGCAGGTGCTCTGCTGAGCAAGGTTCCTGATGTGAAACTCCATCCCAGGACCCTGAGATCATGACCTGAGCCAAAGGCAGATGGTTAACTAACTGAGCCACCCAGGTGCCCCTGCCAGGACATTCTTGAAAAAGAAAGCGGTGTAAGGAGATGGAAAGTGAGGGAGATATTATTTCATGTATCATCCTGTGACTCCAGATCCCAGAGGGAGGGTCTTGTACCCTGACACTGCCTTTCCATAGTTCAAGGGGATCTGGGATAGCCAGGGTCCGTCCTTCATCCAGAACTGTCTCCCTGTTTGTCTCAGAGAGAGTCTGGCAATCTTCAAGACCCAGTGCAACAGAGCTGGCCACCTATTGGCTGGAATGCTGTCTCTGTACTTATTATCTGTGGCACCCAGAACAAATTATGAAACCTCTTTGTGCTTCAGTCTCCCTAACTGTAAAAATGGGAATAATAATAGCACAATGCAGTACTACTTGATTGGAGCAATACGAGGTTAAACGAGTTAATAGGTGTGTTCACTGAGAACAGTACTGGAACATAGTAAACACAGTTATTGTTCACTGGCAAGCTCCAGGGAATTTTTGTTAACTCTGCCCTTAGCTTAGGAAGCAGAGTAGAAAGCCTTCAGGCAACACTAGAAAGTCCGCTGCTTATTTTGTTGTGTAATTGAGCAAGTATTTTATCTCTTAGAGCCTTAGTGTTTTATCTACAATGTAGATTAGAATCATCTTCCTATATTACTTTATTTTTGCATGAATTAAATACTATAGCAAATGTGATCTATCTTAGCACAGTGCGTGTTTCTCAGTAAGTGCTTTTCTGTATTAACCATGAGGGTGATGAAGAATTTAATGATGGTGATGAAAAGGAAGAAAAAGCAGGAAGAGGAAGAAGAGAAGGAGGGGGAGGGGAGAATGGGAGGAAGAAGAGGAGGAGAAGGAGGAAGAGGAAAAGGAAGAGGAGAGAAGGGAGACTGGAGTCAGAAGCCCATTCACAGTTAAGGTCCGATACTAACAGGCTTTCAAATCTTGAGCCTCAGTTTCCCCCTTCTATACTACGTGGGGTATGGGATTCACTTGTTGCTGTAATCCTTTCTGGGTTTAGTATTTTTGAGTCCTACCAGAATGCTGTGAAGGGCTGAGGCTGGCCAGAGGGCATGTGAAAGATGTGCTTCTAGTTCATTCAGTATGCCCATCTTGCTTGCTTCTTGGAATACTGAGCACAAAATGCATTGCTCCTCCCCTTTCTCTCTCTCCTCTCATGGAAGGAACAAGGTTCTCCTCCACAGATACGGGATTCAGAGCTGTGTGTGGGGCCATCGACCCGCTGAACGCCAGAGGGCAGCAGAATCAGCATATTTTCAGCTCGGGGTGTTTTTCTGTTTTTTTTAGCTCCTCCAAAGGGAGAACACTAGTTAGACCAATGGGTTAGTTCAGACAAACCCAGAAAGGAAAAGAAAAGAAAAGAAAAGAAAAGAAAAGAAAAGAAAAGAAAAGAAAAGAAAAGAAAAGAAAAGAAAAGAAAAGAAAGGAAAAGAAAAGAAAAAAATATCAAAGAATATGAGAAGATTGCAAAACGTCAAAGGATTCGAGTCTTGAGGAGACAAATGTGGGAGCAGCCCACCAAGCCCCAAGTCCTCGTCACAGAGACTATGAGGGACCCCCAGGCAGCACTGCAAGACCGTGGGGGCACTAACCCCTGTCCAGGGAACTCTGGTAGTTTT